AGAGACAGAGACAGAGACAGAGACAGAGAGGCAGAGACACAGGCATAGGGAGAAGCAGGCTCCATGCACCGGGAGCCCGACGTGGGACTCAATCCCGGGTCTCCAGGATCCCACCCTGGGCCAAAGGCAGGCGCCAAACTGCTGCGCCACCCAGGGATCCCCTAATCTTTTACATTCTTAAGGCATCCTGATCCAAATGATGCCATTACATGTGACATCTGGGGAGGCAGGTGATAAAAGCGACCCTATCTCCTGAAATTCCTTCCCTGATACCAATTAAAAATTCACTTTCTTGCCATAAGCAATACGGACTCTACATGCTCTGGAAGACTGTAAACCTTTCAATCGTTTATTCCTCTGGGAAGCCAGTCCCTCACCTGAACACTACTTCCCAGTGGCTCTAGTCCTTGTTTCATGAATCCTCTCCTTGCCACCATTATAATTTTTCCTTCTTCACTGCATCTTTCTCACGGGCATACAAACATACTGTTATTTCTTCCATCTTAAGAAAACAAATCTCAATTCCATGTCCCCCACCAGTTTCTGCCCCAAATCTCCTTGAAACAGTTGTCTATAATTGTTCTTTCCAGTTCCTCTCCTTTCCTACTCCTCTAAAGCTATTTCAGTCAGGCTCAAATCCCAAGTCCAGGATATTTCGCCCCCACAGTGTCCACAGCCCTCCCTTACTCGGTCCTCAGCAGCATCTGACACAGTTCTCACGGCCTCCTCCTGGGGAATTCTATCTTTCCTTGGTTTCCAGGACACCACACTCTTGTTTTCTTCCTATTTAATGGCTTACTCCTTATTTTATGGCTTACTCCTTTTTACTCTCATCTATTCATTTGTTTTCTCTCAGGCCTAGTAGAGATGGAGAGCCCAGGGGTTGGTTCTTCTCTCTGGTTGTACTCACTTCCTTGGTGATTTTAACAATCTCATGATTTTAAGTGGGGAATCTACGCCTATGACTCTCAAAATTATATTTTGGAACCAGAACTCTCTCCCAAACTCTTCACTTCTTATACCTAATTGCTGCCTCAGCATCTCCACTTAGACATTGAACATAGCCATGCCCTCCTGATCTTCCCCACCCCCAAGCGTGTTCACTTTCACCTTCTCCCATTTCAGTTGAAAGAAACATCATCCTTATAGTTGCTCAAGCCAAAAGCCCTGGAGCCATCTTTGATCCCCTTTTCCCTTCATACCCCAAATCCAAATTCTGTTCTCTCTACCTTCAAAATATATTCCGAATCTAGATACCTTTCTCCACCTCCACCTGAAACCACCTCCACTGCCACCATCTTCATTTATCTATACCCTGCCTGCATTTCTGCAATGTTGACAGACTAGTTTCCTTGTTTCAATATTTGCCTATTGTCTCTTTTCATAAAGCTATTAAGGTGATCTTGATGAAACATAAGTCAAACATCACTGCTTTGCTCAGTCTTTTTCAGTGATTCCTGTTTCACCGAGATGAGCCACAATCTCAACTACGACCCGCAAGCCTCTATGTGAGCTGAATCCCTTCCTACTATTCCTTCCCTCGTTCACTCTACTCTAGAACCAGTTCATCTCTTCGTAGTCCTTGAACATTCTAGGCATTTGTTCTGTCTTTTCTCTCTGCCCGGAATGGTCTTGCTTAAGACAACTACAAGCCTGACTCCCTCACTTCCGTGAATCTTTGCTCACTGCCCTTGCCTTGAAGTTTCAACCTGCTGTCCCCAATCCCACCGTCCCACCACAACACCTAACTCTGCTCTCTTTTCTCCTACTCGGTATTTCCTACCATACTATCTCCTTTACATGTTTATTATTTTTATTCTTTTGGTCTCTTGCCCCCTGTTTTATGTGGGCAGGGATCTTTATTTTGTTCACTGATATTTCCTGAACTATTACAACAGCACAAAGCAGTGGCATAAAAAAAACAATTCCCGAGTGAATGTAAAAAAAAAAAAAAATCCATGAGCGCTTGATCTGAGTGTGGCCTTTGACTGGAGAGGAAAGGAATGGCATTTGCAGGCTGGCAGAGGGAGCATCTGGAAAACACCCATGCGTGTGCTTTGAAGGGTGGCAGCATAAGGAAAAGCACATCTCACAATTTTACTTAAAGATTATCCCATAAATTTCCCTCTCACATGAAATATAAATTTTTGAGCCTGAATATCAAGACTCATTTTGCTCTGATTTCTTCTTTGTGTCTTATCTGGCTTCCCCTACTTGGAGGAAAGTTTCCAATCCAAGTATTTCTTCATTTTGGAATTTATTTGGGTTCTCTGATGGGAGCCTGAAAATCTTTCACTATACACTACATTTTTACCTAAAGAAAATTATAGATGTCGTTTAGCTTTCATTCCCTCGATTCTCTCCATCTGACAATTAACTTTCAGATTCCCCAATTATTGTTTGTTTGGGTAATATAAAACCCAAGGAGACTCTTGTTTCTCTTCATTTTTCTTCTGAGAGTATGCGTTTTGTGGAGTCAGGAACTCTTAGATGAATCTGGCTTTCTAATTAGGAGTCCTTAATAATATGAAAATAGGGATGAGGTATAGCTTCTTACAATTGGTGGATTTTGTCAATTTCTGATGAAATTAATATTACAAGTAAGAATTTGAGCCCAGTTGGTTGGAAAGCCCTTTTCAACTTTGCAAGAATTCGCTGAAAAGCTGAGAAATCGACCAGCATCCTTATGAATTTGTAATACAGGCTACAGGATCCTTCTTGAAATTCTGTCTTCCATCTAAAACTTTTTATTTTCCACCATATCATAATGGATTCTGGGCAGTAGGTTGCAAAAAAGGGTTAATACAGCAGGCCTAAAGTTCTGATTTTAGAAGACTCTGACACCAAGACTGGCCCTTGGCTTGCATCTGGGAACTCAGCTTTTAAAAAATTTCCTACACTGATATGAGAAATTGCCTAATTGATAAGAGTGCCTTGCTGTGCCTAGACTGTATGTATAAACAATGCAACTTGTGGTGAAAACTTGCTCTCTTTCTGGAAGTCTTATATTTTGGTATTGGTTAGGCTGAAGTGCCTATGTGGCTAACTCTCTAATAAACACTTGTCTCTACTGGGCTTCTCTGGGAAATAACTTCATACATTTCCAGCGCTGGGAAAAGAAGAATTCTCAATGTGTCCTTCCTAGGCATAAAAGGACAGTTTCACTGTGATAAATCTTGGCCAGAAGTACTACTATATGCTGGATCCTATGAGTCCTTTAAATGAATCTGCAAACATATGGTAGTCTTGGGAATTCCTCATACAGCAGAAATAGTGCTAAATACTCCTCCTCTCCACAATTTCTTCAAACAATTATCAGTCTTCATGTCTTATAAATTTTCAGGGATTCATGCTCAGGGTACTTATTAAAGTACCTCACTAGAATTACATAAGACTGAAGGCAGTGGCTGGGATAGGGTCACAAAATGAAATTCAGAAGTACTAAGACCATGACCTAGTGGGTTAAATTTATCAGACTAGAAAAACACTAGGGAAAAGAACCAGAATTTAATACATGTGAAAGCAAAATAATTTATAGAAGTCAAGTGTATATAAGAATACATGTTAATTGTTTATTTTAACTAAACAAATATTTATTTAGTACTTACATATTAGTAGTCAGATGGCTTAAACTCTTATTTGGTAGCAAAATATCATGGGGTATTAGAGTCTTTCAAATAGAAGTCATAAAATCAAATGCCTGGAAGGGCACACAGTTAACATAAATGCACGGTACAGACCATAAACAAGGTAATAGCTGTTAAACTGCTCTAACACTTTCTAGCCACTGCCTTTATACCTCAAACAAAATAAAGTGAGACATAGTGGTGGTTACCTATGACAGATGTGTTTTCAATCCCTGCTCTAAACTGTAATCATCATCAGTAAAGGAAAGGTGTCCAGATACTGATATTAACTGATTTTATTAGTTAGATTATGGATATGAAGTACTTTTAATGTAAAGGTACTGTAATTATCGGATTCTATTAGATGGATTATGGATATTAAGTAGTTTAAACATAAAGAACATCAGGCTGGTAGGGGATTGAAGCGGAGGAAAAATAAATTGTAGCTAAGTACTTTGGAATATTGCTTATTTACGGTAAAGGAGAATGATGTAATTTTCTAGAAAAAGAAAGGGAAGACTTAGTCTAACTTGCCATAAGGAACCATACTTACAATTATCCAATGTCTTTTTAAAACACATTCATTCTATTCCAATCTCCTGCCTGCTTTTTAACCAGCTATTCTGGTAAGTCATGGATAAAGAGCTCATCCAGTTTTGACATTTCTATAAAGTGCCATCTAAGATAGGCAAAAGTGAGCTTAAATAAAAGTTTCCTAGTTTTTTAACACACAGCCAAAATTCTGAAGATTGAGAGAAAACCTGCATTTTTTTAATTTTTTAATTTTTAATTTTTTTTACTTAAGGAGGTTATTTAGCAGAGTGGTTATAAGCACACATTTACTTTGGACTCAGACTGACATTGCTGACATTGCCTCAAATTTCTATTCTACCTTCTTGTGTAATCTTGGAGAAGTTACTCAGCCTCTGTAAATTCCCATTCTTCATCTGTGAAATGGTGAAAACACTTTCCACTTATATATGTAAAGTTCCTAGTGTGTCATAAGTAGTCAGTAAAATGTGGTGGTGGTGGTGGTGGTGATGATTATGATTATAGTAGTGGTGGTATTGGCAGTGATGGTGATGGTGGAAGAGGTGGTTGTAGTACTAACCTGAAGAATGCTTCGAAATTTTTAAAAGGCAGTGGAAATTATTTTCAGGTGAACTCCAAAGGGAAAAACCACTGCAAAACCAGATTAACAGTAGTTGCTCAAGGATATGGGGGTATGCGAGCAGCCTGCTTAGCCTTCTCCTTCCATCTGCCCACATTTGTGACCCCAGCTATTTACCATGGAACTCCAGTATTCAGCCAAGCAGAGTTTGAAAAACCTATGGCAAGAGATGACAAAGAAATGGCAAGATAATGTTGGCTTACTTTAGATCTAAGGGAGGTTTAATGTTTCTAGGAGGTAGACTTGGGACAGGCGGTTGTGGTGGGTGAGATGCTGGCAATGGTGGTTGGCTGGTTGGATGGGATGGTGGAGGTGGTGGTAGGGACGTAGCTGAGTAAGATGTTTGGCCTTTGCTGGTACCTAAGAAGCAGAGAAAAAAAAATACCACGGATTAAGATAAATCTTCAAAACACAAGAGCTGGCTATTCCAAATATGCAGAAATGCGCATCTTAAATATAAAAATGTGAGAAATGCATCCTAAGTTAAATTATTGCTTTAAAGAATCTAATATTCAAAGTATCACAGAACATGCCATTTTAAATGTTCTATTTTTTCAGATATATTGAGGTATAATTGACAAATAAAATTATAAAATAGTCAAAGTGTATAACACAATTGTTTGATATACATAAATATATTTTTTGAACGGTTTTCCATCCATTGAGTTAATCAACATATCCACTCGTCTCATGTATTTATCTTTTTGTGGGGGAGAAGGTGAGAATACTTAAGTTCTAGTCTCTTAACAAATTTCAGTTATGCAATACAGTGGTAACTCTAGTCACCATGTTTTTTTTTTTTAATTTTTATTTATTTATGATAGTCACAGAGAGAGAGAGAGAGGGGCAGAGACATAGACAGAGGGAGAAGCAGGCTCCATGCACCAGGAGCCCGACGTGGGATTCGATCCCGGGTCTCCAGGATCGCGCCCTGGGCCAAAGGCAGGCTCCAAATCGCTGCGCCACCCAGGGATCCCTAGTCACCATGTTTTATTCTAGATCTCAGACCTTATATATCTTATAACTGAAAATTTGGACCCTTTGATCAGTCTCTTCCTATTTTCTTCACCCTAGCCCCTGACAGCCATCTTCCTACTCTCTGTTTCTATGAGTTTGACTTTTTTGGTTTTGTTTTTTAGATTACACAGATCATTGAACCACGCATTTTCTTGTCTTTGTCTGCGTTTCTGGCTTATTTCACTAGTGTAATGCCCTCTAAATTCATCCATGTTGTCAAAAATGACATGATTTCCTTCTTTTTTTAAGGCTGAATTATATTCCATTTTATACATCTATTACATTTTCTTTATTCACTCATCCACTGCTGGACATTTAGGTCCTCGGCTGTTGTGAATAATTCTGCTATAAATATGGGAGTAGAACCATCTCTTTGGGATAATTTTTTGTTGCTTCTAGATATATACACAGAAGTGGGATTGTGGGATCATAAGGTAGTTCAAGGAAAGTCTATAGTGTTTTCCATAGTGGCTGAGCCAGTTTATTCCTAACAGTATATATAAGTGTTCCTTTTTCTCCACTTCCTGGCACTTGTTGTCTCTTGTCTTTTTGATAATTGACATCCTATCCTATGTGTGAGATGATATCTCACTGTGCTTTTGATCTGCATTTCCATGATGATTAGCGATGTGGATACACATTCCTTTTTCTTTTTGTGAGACAGATAAGTTCTTTAATTCCCACTACTAAAAAGAATTTCTCTTACCTTGTTAAGAAAAATCTTAACAATTGTTAAATCTAGGTGTAGAGTACATGGGTGAAAAAATGCACAATAAAAAATAAAAACAAAACAAAACAACAAAAAAGAATTTCTCTTACTTTTTCTGAGCTTTTGTAAACAATAGTTTTAATATTTCGGACTTTGTGAAGAAGTCTACATCAACTTTTTTTTACACCACTTTAATATCACATTCTTTATGATTTTTAAAATGTAGATGATGTTTCATTGGGCTCATTATTTTAGACCAAAGAGGTGTAGTTTTTGTGTCTGCTCTCATGGGTAATACATTCTTCCTTGTTTTCAATGATTTCCTTGAATCATTAATGAGAAGATTTTGTTTCAGTATGATTTCTAAACATTGAAATATATTCAACAACCTCAAAATATATTAATCAATTATATTGATTATATTATTGATTATGTATGATTTATGTAGAGATTTTAACATAAAGATAAGCAAAACTAATAAACATCAATCACCCATAATCCCATCATCCAGCAATAGCTCCTGAGTTACTTGTATTTTAAAATAAAACATTTTGGGCAGCCCTGGTGGCCCAGCAGTTTAGCGTCGCCTTCAGCCTGGGGTGTGATCCTGGAGACCCGGGATGGAATCCCACATCAGGCTCCCTGCATGGAGCCTGCTTCTCCCTCTGCCTGTGTCTCTGCCTCTCTCTCTCTGTGTCTGTCATGAATAAATAAATAAATAAATAAACAAACAAATAAATAAATAAATAAAATCTTTAAAAAAATAAATAAAACATTTTAATGCAAACATACAGCAGGGAGTAAAATGGAACCATTTTGCTATTTTGTTATCAGTATTTTTATTTTTCTCAACATCATAAATATCATTCTGGGTTAATCTAATTACAATGTAATTTTTAGTAACTGGGCAATTTTTCTTTATGCAGCTCTTAGCATGATTTAAAAAAAACCCACTAAGGCTCTCATAATGGCTATTTGTATTAATTCCTTTCCTTTTTGATGTAATAAGATATCTTAGTCTTTGCACATATTTAAAGATTTGTCCTAGAATGAATTCCATTAAGTGGAAATGCTGGGTCAAACAACATTTTTTAAGACTTTTGACACAAAATATCAAATTGTCTTCCAGAGAGACAGCAACTGATAGCTCCACTGACTGACAGTATATAAGAGTGTTTTCATATATTTTTGCCCACATTGCCATTATTATGTTTTGACTTTTTCACAATATTATGGAAAAAATTCTACCTTTTGTTTTAATTTCATTTGTATCAGAACATCAATATCAAATACTGAAAACTTTCAACATTTTAGATGTTTCTTTTGCGTTTACTTTCATTCACACACACACACACACAACTACTGCTTGAAAAAATTATTGATTTTCTATTTAGTAGATGTATGTAGGTTTTTGCTTTCTTTCTTTTCCTTTTCCAATGTAGCATAAGCATAACTTTTTTTAGGGGGGATTAAATCCATGTTCATTGTTTTCATTATCATGGCTCGGTAAATATTATTTTTTGTTGAATCAAGCAGTGCACTATGATTACATTTCTTTTTTCATTCAACTTATTGTTTTCCTGGAATTAATAACTGTCTTTTCATTTGGGAAGATTTTTCTTTGGAACTCTTACTTCCCACAATTTCCAATAGTGCTGTAAAATACCTTTAAACATTTTCTACAAAACCAAACCTGTCAGATAATGAATTGGTTCCAGTATACCGTCCCTGTCCATTTGCTCTATTGTGACCTGGTTGCTTTTAAGGTCTGCCACACATGTGACATTCTGAGATTTCTTTCTGCCAGTGTCAGGGCTCTGATATATTTAGAGAATGCATTGTGATAGAGTCTCAGATCCAAAACCAAAGTGTCTGAGTTTAAATCCTGGCTCCACCACCTACCTTCTGGGTGACTTGGATAAGTTACTTCTGGTTTCATCTGGAAAATGAAGATCATAATAGTGCCACCTCATTGGGTTACAGTAAGGATTTTAGACTTACTACATATAAAGCATTTAGGACAGTACCTGACATATAGTAAATTGAACATTTTTTAAAGATTTTATTTATTTATTCATGATAGACACAGAGAGAGTCAGAGACATAGGCAAAACGAGAAGCAGGCTCCCTGCAGGGAGCCCGATGTGGGACTTGATCCCAGGATCCCGGGATCATGACCTGAGCTAAAGGCAGATTCTCAACCACTGAGTCACCTGGGTGCCCCGTAAGTTGAACATTTTATTTTTTTCAACAAATATTTATTGAATGCTTACTATGTGTCAAGCTCTGTTTAGGCACTAGGATACAATAGAAAAAAATGGACACAAATTTCTGCTCTTATGGGTTTGGGAAGAGATAAAAATGAAAAATATCTAAGTAGAATACATATAAAATTATGTGAAGCGCTATAAATGGTGGAAAGACTATGTTGGCATCTCTTCCCTACTCTGCATTCAGTGACCTCACTATGGTAGACTGAATTTGAGCAGAAAGGGAGTATTTAGTTCCTGGAAATAGACAAGAACTACAAATTTCAGCTTTATTGTTTTGTTGATTGTTAGATTTAAGAAAGTGGTGGAGAAAATGCTTATAATGCAGATTAAATTTAAAAGTATGTTGTTTCTGTAACTATTACATGATGAAGAGCATAAAACATTCAGAAAATATTTTCCAGTATTTGAAAGCTATTACACAGCTCAGCAAAGTAGTTATTCACATCATTGGCAAATGAGTGAAGTTCTGACATAGATCTTTATTGTTTTACAGTCATCTTGTTAGCATAAATGAAAATAGCAATCAACATTCAGGTTGGAACTACACTCATTCCTTAATTGCAACCATAGGTTGACTACAGATAGTCAAGAAATTGCCAAGAAATTGGCAAAAATCAACGGATGGCTCTGTGGAATTTTCAATAAAGAATATTTTTTGGCTTATTCGTATTTATATTATTATGCACTATGCATCTTTTATATCAATAAAGTTTATTACATACGTATATATACATAACACACATACACAGCAGCCTTTCTTAGAGAACTAGTTCAAAATTTACCTGCGTCCAACTGCTTCTATGTAAAAAATTCATAGGTTCTTTTGTCTCTTTCATGAATAGAATGTGTCTGTATCTTCCGGCTTTGCTTTGACCCTTTCTGATTTTATTCGTTGTGCATTTGAATTATGTGTATTGCCTAGTTTCCCTAAATATGAAGTTTGTTTTTCTTGTCCTCCTAATTTTGGAGCAATGTTTTTGAGAGGAAAAGGGATGCACTCTTGAAAAACATTTTGTTTTAATTTTACATGTTTCTGAGCACCACTGAGGTTAATTTTTTCATCTTCATAACCATGTTTCATTTTAGTTGTATTATCTATTCAAGTCCTTTTTAAAATAGTATTTGCTTCTTCTTAGTGGCTATTAGAACCTCTTTATTAAGGGTATTCATCTTTTTGCCACCTTGATGGACAAACTGAATGTAGTAATTGGGCTGCTTTGGCTTCTGCTTCTGGGTGTTCATATCAAAAAACTCTCCAACAATGAAAAGGAAAAAAACAAACAAACCAAAAAACAAACTAAAAACAAAACAAAAGAAAAAAACATACCATTGCCTCAACCAATCAAACCCCAAATCTTCAA